CAGTTAGAACTGGATATGGAACAACTGATTGGTTCAAAATTGGGAAAGGAGTACAACAAGGCTGTATATTAACTTATATGCAGAATACATCATGCGAAAGGCAGGACTGGAGGAATCCCAAGGCGGAATTAAGATTGTTGGAAGAAATATCAACAACCTCCGATATGCAGATGATACCACTCTGATGGCAGAAAGTGAGGAGGAATTAAAGAGCCTCTTAATGAGGGTGAAAGAGGAGAGTGCAAAAATGGTCTGAAGCTCAACATCTAAAAAACTAAGATCATTGGCACTGGTCCCATCACCTCCTGGCAAATAGAAGAGGAAGATATGGAGGCAGTGACAGATTTTACTTTCTTGGGCTCCATGATCACTGCAGATGGTGACAGCAGCCACAAAATTAAAAGATGCCTGCTTCTTGGGAGGAAAGCGATGACAAACCTAGACAGCATCTTAAAAAGCAGAGACATCACCTTGCCAACAAAGGTCCGGATAGTCAAAGCCCAGAGATTTTTCTCTATTCTGGAGACTTTCCACAAATGTGCAGTCCTGGTTATTTTAAGCTGTCTTCATTTCATCAACTGGGAAAATCCAAAAATACTTGGTGACATATTGAAAATCATGCAGCAGACTACCTCTATCCTGTCCCTGTTCCATGTGTTCCATTATGGATTAATATTTCCCTGAATTAAATAGGGAAAGACATATGGTTATGTTCCAAGGCTGGCATAGAAGAAACATTTAAAGCAGATGAGGGTTGCATGTACAATTTATGACTTGTCCTTTGAAATGTGTAGTTGCATCATATATGTTTTAATCATTGTGGTTATGTCTTGACTTAGATTTTGAAATTGTTTTCACAACCTAGGTTATCAGAGGATTGCTTAAATTTTGGCCAAAAACATGCAGCCAGAAAGAGGTCAGTCTGTTTAAATTCTCTTGATTGAATTTTATACACATAGACTCACACACCGAGAAATCAGCTTAGGAGGTCTGAAAGTTCTTTGTCCTAACTGTAATATTAATATGTAGGGTTCCATTTGTATATTTAAAAGAACTGTCTTGACAGAGAAGTCCACATTTAAGGCATGGTCTTTCTTGTGGTCATAGTGCTCATGTGTGGGACAAATCACGAAAGGACCCAGGGTTCTGTTTCTTTCACTTGTTCACTCAGATAGTATGTTTCTGGATAGCATTGTGGGCTATTAAAAGGGATGGAAGATGCATTCATTATTCATACTTCCCTCCCAATATAATTGCTGTACACTCCTCTTCCCTTTGCCAAATTGAAATGGCTTCAGTAGGGGATGTGCGGAGTGGTGAATCTGCACTGAGCTTCCTTGCCTGTGCTTACCATACTGTCTATGTATACACTTTGTAGGAGGAAAGGAATAACTGGAATCTGAGCCCTGTGGGTAGCCAGTTTTTGGTTTCAGCTAGAATAGACCCAACAAATCCATGAAACTTACATACATGCCAGTTTATAAAGTTCCTATTGATTCTGTGGATCTGCTTCAAAATCGCTACTGAAACACATGCACTATAGAAAAAATAGCACTAAATGGGGCAGTATTATGCAATGTATTACTGTACTTTGGCTTTACTGAAGCTAAAAAAGGTGAGAACTTATGAATATGGGAGACCTCATACAAGAACCAAGGTACACACATTACTCTATAGTATGTTTTGGCTTTACTGAAGCTAAAAAAGGTGAGGACTTACCAATATGGGAGAACCAAGGTGCGCACATTACTCAATAGTATGCATCTTGTTTTCACTTGCCTCCATCCAAATTGACAACTTTATATTTAAGGAATATGTGGGCAATGTAGTATGGTATAAATTACTACTACAACAAAACATTTATCCTTCACCCCATATGTGCCACCTGGCCATTCAGGATGTGACTTGAATCAATCAATATACTACCTGAACAAACATGTCTTGCCTAAATGCTTTTTGTTGTAACAGGTCATGTTTTTAGGTGAAATTGAAGAAATCTTGGATGTAATAGAACCAACACAATTCAAGAAGATTCAAGAACCTCTCTTTAAGCAGTTAGCTAAATGTGTGTCGAGTTCCCATTTTCAGGTATAATATGGCACTCTCAGCTTTTATAACTGGTACTACTCAACTGCATTGTCCTGATACTGTTAAATGTACATTTCAGGTTGCAGAAAGGGCTTTGTACTTCTGGAATAATGAATATATACTTGGTCTCATTGAGGAGAACATTGATACAATTCTGCCAATTATGTTTGGTAGTTTATACAAGATCTCCAAAGAACACTGGAATCCGTATGTATTCTTTAAATGTTTTCTAAAGTGCTTTTGTATATTACTGTATTAGTCTCTGCCTTAAATCTTTGGGCAGGTATACAATTTTGGGTATTGTAACAAAGATCTAGTTTATGATAAAAGAATGTGATATACATATGTAGTGAAACTGCATGATATGCATTGAAAGAACAGCAAGTTTACATTTTCCATTGAACCCCCATTTTAGTCTCCCAGAGTCAGGTTTTGTTGCAGAATCCACACAAAATTGTACCAAGAATGTAGGTATTTTACAACATTTTTACCTGAACCGTTGTAAGCACTAACCCCAAATGTCAGTCAGTTATCATATAATGTGTGTGTGGGGGTGTTAACAGACAAAACAAGTTAGGACAAAAATCATCCCAGTACAAAAACAAACAAGCACAGACAAACATAAACAATTGCTTTTTGACCTTGAGTACCTTTTTATCCCAAACAAATAATATATTGTCTCATGCTGCTTTTTTGGTAAAGCATGATGCCAAGAAGCAGATATAATATACTCTGGGTTCTCAGTAGGTTAGTGGCATGAGTTGGGGGAAGACGTTGGAATTTTCAGTGAGTTCAGAAAAATAGAATCAGTTCATAGTAAACATAATTCTACTGCTAACCCTCATGAAGTTGGAATTCCCATGTGCTCAGAAAATATCCAGATATTACTCAATATATTTATAAATTTTCAGTGAGACTGTTAGTATTTATTTGAGAGAGAACAAGAAAATTCTCTGCACAAAAATAACTGGTTTGAAATTATTCTATAAATTACTTGTGCTTCAGCCAAGTTATTCCCAATGCAGTTGAGTTTACAGTAATTATTATTTATTCCTGTCAGAGCATTTCAATATACAGTAGTTTTATATTAATATTCACTTATAAAACATTTAAAAAGATTAGAAACATTAAACAAGGATACATATAAAATACAATACTGTGTTTCCCTGAAAATAAGACAGGGTCTTATATTATTTTTTGCTCCAAAAAAAAAGCAGTAGGGCTTATTTTCAGGGTTTTTTTTTTATTTTTTTCATCTACAACAATCTACGTTTATTCAAATACAGTCATGTCATCTGGTTGCTGCACAATGGTGGAGGATGGGTTTTTACTTAACTAGGTCTTATATTTGGGGTAGGGCTTATTTTACAAGCATCCTGAAAAATCATACTAGGGCTTATTTTCAGGTTAGGTCTTATTTTCAGGGAAACGGTATGATTAATTACATATTAAAAGAAATATATAATTTAAAAATGCAAACGGTTAGGTCTTATTTTCAGGAAAACGGTATGATTAATTACATATTAAAAAAAATGTATAATTTTAAAATGCAAACATTTCAGACTCAAATAAAATGAAGGGACGTGGTGGCACTGCGGGTTAAACCGCAGAAGCCTCTGTGCTGTAAGGTCAGAAGACCAGCAGTCATAAGATCGAATCCGCATGACGGAGTGAGCTCCCGTTACTTGTCCCAGCTCCTGCCAACCTAGCAGTTTGAAGGCATGCAAATGCAAGTAAAGTAGATAAATAAGGACCACCATGGTGTCTAGTCGTGCTGGCCATGTGACCATGGAAACTGTCTTTGGACAAACGCTGGCTCTACGGCTTGGAAATGGGGATGAGCACCACCCCCTAGAGTTGGACACGAGTGGACTAGATGTTGGGGGGAACCTTTTCCTTTACCTAAATAAAATAATAATGAATACCAGCAATTAAATGTCTGGGTAGAGCAGTATAAAAGTCTGGTGTCATACTCTCTATCTTCATCCATATGTTCCATGCATCTGCGTTGGAGTGTCCCTTATTACTGGATGGTCTATAGGTGAATGTAGACCCTTGGATTTCACCTCAGAAGATTAAAATACATGACAATGTCATCAGGCAAGCCTCCACAAGGGAAAAGTTCTATTGGTGATTCAGTATTGCTCTTGAAAATGCTTTTTTAAAATCTAGTGGCAATTTTGGAGCCAAAGATGTAAGGTGATATTCTCATAAAAATGTTGTGGCACAAATTTAATGGGGGAAAAAGATACTTATGTCTAGTATTTCCTTTTAACATTAGCCCTTTATTAAACTGTGTATAAGGCTTTAATATTGTGGATATTCCCATCTGCAAATCTTCTATAAGAATATCTATTAATTTCCAAAACCTCTGGAGTTATTAGATGCGTGCTTTGCAGCCATAATTGTTGGTTGTTTTGTATTCAGAGTCAGTTGCAGACATCAACAAATTTGCAGACATCAGCAGACTTAAACTAGATACAGAAATTAGGCAAAACATTAAAAAAAGAGAACATCATTCTTCCTTTATGAAAATAAGTGCGTATGTTGTAAGCTAGAGTTGAACTGTGCTTATCACTCCATGGACTGATTATGTGTATGAATATGGGAATACAGTGGTGCCTCGCATTACGATGTTAATTCGTTCCAGCGAAATCGCTGTAGAACGAAAACATCGTAAAGCGATAGACTTAAACTAGATACAGAAATTAGGCAAAACATTAAAAAAAGAGAACATCATTCTTCCTTTATGAAAATAAGTGCGTATGTTGTAAGCTAGAGTTGAACTGTGCTTATCACTCCATGGACTGATTATGTGTATGAATATGGGAATACTCAATAATATAATGTTCAGTGAAGGTACTCAGATTGCAGTAATTTATGCATCCTGGGAGCACAGTAACACTTCCTTGAAAGTCATTTGAGATCAGCTGTTTAACTGAGCATACATATATAGGATAAAATAGGAAGAAAGGCTGCCCTGAAACAAAACTAAGAACTTGCTGCAACCTGTTTTGCTCCAGGCAATGTGAAAATGAGATTAACTGTTTAGTCTTTAGTTATTGTTGGATCACTGCAAGGTGTTCTTATTTAAAATTAATTCATGTTGCATCATTCTGTAAAAACCCTAGAACTTCTTCGTGAGCTGATCAAGTGAAGTTTTTAGTATTGCTTTTGTTTCCCACTTCTCAGAGTTGTATTTGTTGGATCCTTTTTGAATTTATATACTCATTGTTTTTAGCTTTAAATATTGTTATTTATTTATTTATTTATTTATTTATTTATTTATTTATTTATTTATTTATTTATTTATTTATTTATTTATTTATTACATTTACACCCCGCCTATCTGGTCATATTGACCACTCTAGGCGGCTTACAACACACAAAGGAAACAAATATATAAAAACAATATCTAAGTAAAAGGAAGTTTGTAGATAATTAAAAATTTGATAAGATGGAGAAAGAGAACATAGTAATGAAAGAAAGGGAAGAGGTCAGGGATTAACTAGGAGGGGAAGGCCTGCCTGAACATCCATGTTTTCAGTTGTTTCTTAAAAGTACCCAGCGAGGGAGCCACGCGAATTTCCGGGGGTAGATTGTTCCAGAGGTGAGGAGCCACCGCCGAGAAGGCCCGGTTTCTTGTTTTTTCCTTCCGGGCCTCCCTCGGCGTCAGGCTCCTCAGCCTCACCTCCTGACTCGCGCGAGTGACACGGGTAGAACTGGGTGGGAGTAAGCGTTCCGCCAGGTATCAAGGCCCTAAACCGACAGCTTAATGATGTTAGCTGTCTTGGGTCCTTTTTAAGGAGAAAATTGGGATACATATATTTTAAATAAACAAACAGTGTATAAATAAAGACAATGAATGGCAGCGTGCATAGATGAGATTAATAATCAGTGTAATTAGTAAATTCTGGTATGTTTCAAGGTAGCAACTGTTCAAGGGAATAGTGTTTGTTTTACCTAGAAGTGAATGGAAATACCACTTAGTCCGTTGATATTTAGAAAACAGCTTCAAGTTTGTAAGTGTTAAATAAGAGAATTCTTGCACCTCAAAAGGATCTTAGAAATCTTACTTTAAACTTGTTAAAAAGTTACTGTTATGCCCTGACTATATTTTTGACTAGTCTTTCTTACCATACTGCTCGTTTTTTAATAGAAGCAGGGTGGTAGCTGCAGTATTCCAGTGGATTTAGTTTTTCAGATTTTCCTGCAAATCTGTTGCTCCACCCTGTGAGTTGATACAGTGATGCTTTATGCTGTTAGAAATCAGAGAGGACATTAATGAGTTTTTAAGTGTGCCAGTGAATGCTGTGGACTACTGAATTCTAAGGTGGATTTACAGGGACACCATAAGTTGAGTCAGTTTTACTGGTGTGTAGCAACAACAGTGCACAAATTAAAGGCCCTCAAGCTCCATATATTCAAGAGGGAGCATCTGTTTTCAAACTCATTGGAACTGCATTGCTCTCTCTTACTTGACTTACTTAAAATACTTATTTTTCTTAAAGTGAGTGGGGGTTGGGAAGCCAGATAATCAGAACAGATCTTGAGCAGGGTTGTTGAGGACACAATAGTTGGGTCATTCAATTTAATCCAGCTTTTTCATTTGTTCTAGGACCATTGTAGCATTAGTATATAATGTGCTGAAAACACTCATGGAGATGAATGGAAAACTGTTTGATGAACTCACAAGCACTTATAAAGCCGAAAGACAAAGGTATTTATTCCCCCCCTCCTCATTTTTACTATAGAGACAGTTTCATCTGAATTTCAGTTTGGCATTAGAATAAACAGATGGTTCTTACAATTGAATGAAACCATCAACTTGCTACTGTACATGTCTTGCTGCCATCAGAAATAGATATCTCACAGTGACATGAAACAATGCCTTTTTTGTTAACAGCCCCAACGTGGCAGAAGCCCTTCACCCAGAAAATAAATAAGCAAATGCTATAGGCCTCATGACACTCTAAAAACATTTTGTCTAACCAGGCCATTGGTTTCGAAATGAGAAAGATGGTTTTGTTTCCCTTGTTGATCTCATTTTGTTTATCTGTATATTTTATACTTGGACTGTGATTCTTTCCCTGATGTTTCTGGTGTTTAAATTGCAAGAATCTGAATGAGCTGAAAATAGTCATACAAGTAAATAGGGAATGTACAGTGTTCTTAGCCCAGAGAGTTGACTCCTTTCCCATGCAAGCTGGCTGTGGGTAGACACTCCAAATGTGACACTGTCACTCATACTGTCCTGTCCTCTCAGCATTAAAGGGACTAAGGGGGTAACTCTGGGACATTTACTCCTTCACCACTAAAAAAGTACTTAGACAACTGGGTGGAAAACCTGGTAACAGAGCTGCTTTTTCCTGGGCCAGTGCCAGCACCCAACTTCCTTGTCAGCATTTGGACATATTGATCTGTACTGTGCAGGCTCTTTTATGTTAGGTTTTCTGAATTCACATGATTCCACATGCATTTTCTGAAGTGAATGTTCTTGCTCTGGGGATTTTGCTTGTAAAAATATTTTGTATGTGCTCAAATAAGTTAAAGATATCTTCAAGAATCTACCACCTGAGTAGGTATCTTAACAAATAATACTCAAACATCTGGTCTAGTATTTGTTTTTCTTACTGTGTGGGCTTTATGATAACATGCTAGCAGTCAAGTATTTTTGTCATTTTGCATTTTCATTTGCTACTTCGTCCTCTGCAGTGCTTCAATTAAAGGAGATGCTCTAGTGCACTATGAAAAGTTTGGCAACTCTAGATACATCCAAATGCCCCACAGCTACCGAGTTGAGTAGCCCATAAGCAACCCTTTAAATAGGCTGCCTTCAACTTAGGGGAAGGGTACCTAAAGACAGAGGGAAGGAAAACCCTGATGGAAAACCAACGGCAACATTTGACCTGGATTAGACAGTTACCAATGATGTCTGTCCCCAGGTTAGGGTGACTGATCACAGCATCTAGCTGTAAGGTAGTAAATGGCAACCTGCTTATGCAGTGGGTTTCAGTATGACTGTTGAGTCTCAAATGAATTTCTATTTGAGCTCAGCTGCCACCCCAGTAAACAACGGCAGTATTCATGGTTTCAGAGTTGGGGTATGGGTGAAAATCAGCTACATTCTCTCTCTCAAGCACCTGTTGCTATCAGGCAAAATCAGGTATATTCAACCTCCTTTAGGGCTGGACCAAGATGCAAGTCAGAGTTTGCCTTCAGAGTCAGGAGCTCCAATAAAGCCACTCCAGAACAAGGACAAAGAATACATGAAAGAACAGTAGGGTGTAAGAAATGATTGGAAGAAGATAATAGGGAGGTTGTGTGCCTGTTCAATAATGCTAATGACTGTCAAGACTAGAAGAACTAAAATGTAGCCAAAAACTACATGCAGCTTATACAAATACACACCAAAGATACTCTTGTCAGAATAGAACATTATGACCTGTAAGTACATCAAATGGAAAAACAATTATGTCACAAGCTAGGAAGAGAACACACAAAAAGAGAGGTTGGAAAATGTTTATTCGACTAAGAGCATTCCCCAGAGGAACACGGCTGTCCTTTAACCATGGTTGGTTGCTGAAGTTAATATGGCAGAAATCTCTGAGATACTTGGCAATCCACCATTGCCAAGTATCTCACCAGCAACAGATTTTTAAAAAACCCAAATTATAGAAATACAGTGGTGCCTCGCACAGCGAGGTTAATCCGTCCCGGATTAACCCTCGCTGTGTGAAACATCACTGAGCGGGGCAGAAAAGCCCATTGGAATGCATTAAACAGTGTTTAATGCGTTCCAATTGGCTGCTGTACTCCCCGT